AGGGGTAGAGTTGCCATCTCCAGGTTGGGAAGCTCCTGGAGATTTTGGGGTGGGGCCTGGGGAGGACGGGGACCTCAGTGAGGTACAATGCCATAAAGCCCACCCTCCAAAGCATCTATTTTTCCCCAGGGGAACTCATCTCTGTCAATGTTCCCTCTAAGCTGTGGAGTCTTGTGAGCAAAAATTCTACTTTGTGAGCTACTGGCATTAAAGTTGTGAGCGAGTGATTTGGCTACTGCATCGATTAGCTTGGAGCCCTCCTTCCTGAGCTGTGACAAAAATGTGTGAGCCAGAGGCTAAAAAACTGTGAGCTAGCTCACACTAACTCAGCTTAGAGGGAACACTGATCTCTGTAGTCTGAAGATGAGCTGTAATTCCGGGGGATCCCCAGGTCCCACCTGGAGGCTGGCAGCCCTAGATTGGGAACGATTGGATCCAACTGTAGATGCCAGTTTGTTGGATAAAGCCCAGTTAGGTACTATGTTGATTTTTTTTTCTTGGCTTATTTAGCTTAATTTTTGTTATAGCTTTTATATTACACTGTGATGAGATAGATTAGTCAAAAAATAAAGGATTACATTTTGTTTTTTAAAAATTCCTCAGTATTGGGAGGGTGTTTACATGCATACAGTTCCCAGTTCCAAAATACATAAACTCCAAGCTTTGAAGCTGTCAACTGTGCAGTGAGGAGAGTGGGGCCAGCATGTTTGTTCCTGTTCCCCTTCTACACTAGGGATCAGCATGAACTGCCTGATTAACTAAAGTTTGTCAGGAATTTTGGATGGTTCGTGTAGCAATGTTTGCAAACTGAAGAACCAGCATGAACTTTCATGAATTTTGATGTGGTTCATGGTAGTTAATGCTGGCTCATGAAGAGTGGAAAGCAGGGGTTTAAACCCCTGCTTTCTGCTCTTCACTCACAAAAACAAACAAACAAACAAACAGCTGAGTGGTGGGGAGCTCCCCACCACTCAGCTGTTTGGTTTAAATGGTTGGGAGCCATTTAAACCACTGCTTTCTGCTGTCTGCAAAAGCAGTGGGGAGCAAAAACCAGGGGTTTAAACTTTTAATGGCTCACAAAACAAAAGGAACAAGATCAGTTCTCAAACCAGCCTACTGATTCATATGGCTTTATGGTTTGGCCATGAAGCCAAACTAAAATGCAAAAATGTAGTTTGTGCCCATCCCTGCTCTACAGTTGTTCACTTGTTGATTTAAATGGTGTCTGTAAAAGGACTCATGTGTTGTGAGTTTGGTTTGTTCTGTTTTTAGCTGCATGCATAGGTCTGACTAGAGAGAATGCTGCTTGCTCTTGGTGTGTTGATCCAACCACCTTTTCCACTGGTGAAAAAGGGAGGAGGGGGTCCATTTTGGCCAGCAAAGAAGAAAGCTACACTGGGGATCATGAGACTTCCATGGATAAAAGCCACGTGGCACAAAGGCTATAGTAAAGAAGGGAATTAGCTGAGATGGAGAAAAGAACCTGTCTGCATCTTTCCTGATGGCTCTTCCTGACCCTTTCACGAAGCTGGATTCAAATGGGTAACTTGAGTTATTCAGGAAGAAGCAAGCAGCGACCCTGAATGAGCTGCGCCTATCAGTTTAGCTCAGATCGCTTCTACCCAATACCGATTAAAATATTTTTATTATGCTGCTATATTTAGAATCGCGCAATTCAGAAACCACCAGGCAAGAGAACAGATTTTTTTCCCCCAAATCCCATGGTGTTGAAGATCATTTCATTATTTTTATTCTGTTGACCAAGAACTATTTTTCCCCCTTCTCATTTTGGATTAGTCATACCAGAATATCGCAGAACCAATGCAACGTAATCTACTCACCAGCTGCAACTTGGCATTTGTCATGCTTATGTAGATGACATGAAAGAGATGCCAAATGACTGAGTCTACGAATCAGGTGCTCATCTCTGATCTATGTAGGTTTTTTGCAAGGCTACTCTCAGAGGGGATGTCTACTCAGGAAGCAACTTTAACGTTCAGAAACGATGGGGGGGGGATGTACCCCAGTTGCAATTGGGGGTGGGGGTTAAAAGTCACTGTGCAACTTTGTCCTTATAACAACTTCCTCACAAGTGGGCAGTCCCCCCAAATAATAGCCACTTAACAGTTTGGAGATAAATTCCACCTTGGTTCCAAAGTTTCACCCAGTGCATAGACAAATGACTCTATAGCTTCATCCTTTTAAAACACGGTCATCTGCACATAAGTAAACACTGTCCCCAAAGCACACCTGTGACAGTGGACCTGTGTGCAGCCTAGCATTTGATGTGGGTCACAGGATAGCCAAACCCACCCCCTTTCTCTCCAGAACGGGCATTCTTCAGTTGCATGATGTACCCACAAAGGTCAGAGAATCCTAAGGTCATTCCTGGCTTGCTCATGGTGCCCCTTCCAGGTTAAGAGGGGCAATTTAGGAGACCCTTGGCCCAAAATCTTGGAGCTAGCCATGAGTGTGCCCAATGAACACATATGGATAAGCTCAGGGGTCATTTAGGGGGGGACGCGGGGGGACGCCATCCCCCCGGGTGAGGTGCGGGAGGGCGGGGCCTGGAGCTCCCTGCTGATGCCCGCTGGAGGTCGCCGCCGGCTGTGGGGAGGACACACTTCCGGTGATGTCAGGGGGTGTGGCATATGCTAATGAGTTATGCTAATGAGTCCCCCTAGCTCTTTTTCTACGAAATGACCCCTGGATAAGCTGTAGAAAAAGCCCAGCAGGAACTCATTAGCATAATAGGCCACAACCAACAGCAGAAACTCATTAGCATATTGGGCCACACCCCTGACAGCACCACTCATTAGCATATTAGGCCACACCCACACATTACCAGAAGTGTGGTCATCCAGCCACACCCACCTTTTGCTTCTTATTCTACCTTGTTTGTTGTCAAAACCCAGAGCTTTTTTTGTAGCAGGAACTTCTTTGCATGTTAGGCCACACCCCCCTAATGTAGCCAATCCTAATGAGTTTCTGCTGTTGGGTGTGGCCTATTATGCTAATGAGTTCCTGCTGGGCGTGGCCAACTCGGGAGCCAGCCGGAACTCTGTTCCTGAGTGTTCCTGCCCAAAAATAGCCCTGGATAAGCAGCAATTTGAATAGAAAAGAGCAAGAGTCCAGTAGCACTTTGAAGACTAGCAAAAATTGTGGCAGGGGAGGAGCTTTCGTGAGTCATGGCTCACTTTTTCAGAACTGAAGAACTGAGCAGTGACTCACGAAAGGTCATACCCTGCCACAGATTTTGCTAGTCTCCAAGGTGCTAATGAACTCTTGCTCTTTTCTACTGCTACAGACAGACTAGCACGGCGACCCATCTTGAGTTATTTGAATAGGTTAATGAAAACCTCTCTTTTAAGGGGGCGGAACGTAGGGTGTAAATATTTGAAAAACAAGATGAAATTGAAAAGGCTGTCAATGCCCGAACATAATTAGAAGGAAGCAACGCCAAACATAATTAGAACAAAGCAAAGACGGCAGACTTTCTGACCTGTGTCTGGATCCACTGAAAAATACGGCTGGCCCTGGAGGATACTGTAAACGACTTTGGCGCTGTTGCCGTAGTTCGAATCGTCATCGTCGGTAGCTGTCACTTGGATGACAGAAGTGCCTGAATCGGAGCAAGACAGCGAGGTTGACAAGAAACCCACAATATGAAATGAGATGAAGTCTTAGAGGCAAGCGGTGCAGGAACATAAATATTTACTGGCTGGCCTGCTCTGTCGAGCGCATGTATGAATGTGCTGCATGTGTCAGGACAATGATAGCCAGGGATCCCAAATGCACTGGAGTGAACTGGTGCTCGCAAAACAACGTCTGCTCTCATCCGATGGCAACGGCAAACCTGGCGCTTCATCACTACAATCTAAAAACATAGGGTAGCAGTCAGAATGTCAGTATAAAGCTTGGCAAGAAGCCACGGCCCGGATGGTAGACAACATCTGCTTGGCATGCAGAAGGTCCCCAGTTCAATCCCCGGCTTCTCCAAGTTAAAAAGAGTAGGAGGTAACTGATAGGAAAGATCTGTAGCTTGGGCCCTGAAGAGCTGCTGTTTGTCTCAGTAAACGCTATTTGAATTGTCTGATTATATATTTTTTTTATTTATTTGTGTTATTTATAGTCCAACTTCCTCACAGGGACTCAAAGTGGATTACGCCTAGTGAGTCGCTAGAATCACCAAAAATAAAAATAAAAATGGGACATTCAGTAATCAACGCATTAGGGTTTTAGAACTCTGGAACCACCAGAAAGAGCTGAAGCATCGCTTAAGTAAGCACGTGGTGCATTAAGTGGTACAGAAATTACAAAAAATACACAGCAGTCTAGGTGAGAGTCCTTAATCGTTCAGCCAAGCAAGTTTGCAAAACCATTCCGTACAAGGCAGCCCTATGACCTGCGCGGAAAAAGCCCTTTTGAAGGGTTCAGAAGGCAAGGAGAGTTTTCCTGACCTCCTTGGGAAGGCCGTTCCACAGGCCAGGAGCCACAATGGAGAAAACAGGAGTTGTTGATTTTGCCCATTTGCGGGTTGGAACCTGCAGAAACCTCTGCTGACTTGAGCGAAGTCGTCGTGCTCAGACTCCTGTTCAGCTACAAAACTCTTGGCAGCCCCTCACTATTGCTGGCCTGGACCTATTTCCACAAGGGTGTTGGGGCTGGGCCCAAAGCCCTCCCTGGAACCTCACCGCAGCTCGTCCAAGGCACCACTGAACCAGAAAACCCTGCAGCCCCTCCCAAAACCTGGGTGAAGTCACCCACGTTGGGCAGAGCCAGGGGGAGAGGGAAGCCAGCAAAGAACATTGGGATAGCTAGAGATAAGGGGAAACAATAATAATATACTTTATTGTCATTGTACATAGTACAACGAAATTAAGATGCAATCATTCGGTGGTCTACAACCATACTCATATACACTCACACAACCATTCACAACCATCCCATAACTCCCTTAAGGTTCACATTGCAACTTAAACCACCAATGTCACCCAAATTCCAATTCATACAGCATTTAAAGCAATAATAGCTCTCGAATAAAAACTGTTTTTTAATCTCTTTGTCCTTGTTTTAATTGTCCTATATCTTCTACCCGAAGGCAGCAGTTCAAACAGGGAGTGTTCAGGGTGTGACAAATCCTGCAAAATGTTCTTTGCTTTTTCAAGCATCGAGAACTATACAATTCTTCCATGAATGGGAGAGGACAGCCAATAATCTTCTGGGCTGTGATGATAACTCTCTGGAGTGCTTTCCTATCCCAGGGACACAGGCAGGGTAAGCAGTCACACCACGATGGGCTTCCAGGAGGCAGATGGCCCCGCTCATGACACACACTGCAGCGAGAGGCTTGGGGAGGGCTAGCTCAGGTTCTCGGGACTTAGAGGGCCCTGAGCCAAGGAAACAGCCCCAGCACCCATCAGTCCCGGGTGGCTCCCTCCTGGGAGCAAGGTCTGAGGCTCGCCCTGCCTTGGCCTCTCCCAGCAAACCTTCTCAGGTGGCGAGATGGGTGTGCCCAATGCCGAGGGTGAGATGGGGAGGCGGAGCTCTAGGCGGGGCCAGGGCCACCAGGAACCAGTGGCAGACATACCTCCTCGAAGGGCAGCTTTCAGCCCCAGTGACCCCGTCAGTGGCCGATGCAGGCATTCAGCAGAGGGACAGATGTTGGTTCTCGCAAGACAGTGGTGGGTTACAAGGGAGCTCTGATCAGCAGGCTGGGGAGGAAGAAAGCCTTGGGGACTCCACGGTGGAAAATGGAGTCAATCAGGTGGGAGGAGGAAAAAGGGGTGACCAAAACCTCTACCCCTATTCTGAGGCTTGTGGAGCACCTGGGGTCAGGACCGGCCAGATGGCGGAAGGTAGTGTACCCCCATGGGGCGCATCCCGGGCATGAGAAAGGGTATTGTGAGAAGCAGTGTTGTGTAGTGGCTGGAGTTTTGGATAAAGCCCGGGGAGACGAGTTCAAATCTCAACTCTGTCTTGAAGGTCTCGGGGGCACTCCTTCTTTCTCAGGCTAACCCACCCCACAAGGTTGTCGAGAGGGGGAGAATCATGTACTACATGCCTTGAGCTGGGGTTAAAAACAGCAGCATGACAGCAACAACAGTAAGCTAAATTGAAGACTACTTCCAGACTGGTGTTTTGAATGAGATTCAAATGTGATGAATGAATGTGCTCTGACAGTCCTTGGGAAACGTCAATACAGAAGTGGCTCAGGGCAGGGTATGCTGTGAATGAAACACGGATCAGCGAGCTCGTTCACGTCTTCTATGATATCTTTTGACACAGGCAATTGATAGACCAATCTCCTCCCTCTTCCCCCTCTGCTTTTCATCTGGATAGAAACAACCCAAAGGATGCTGATGAAGAAGAAGAAGAGGAAGAAGAAGAAGAAGAGATTGGATTTATACCCCGCCCTTCCCTTGGAGTCTCAGAGCGGCTTACAAACTCCTCTCCCTTCCCCTCCCCACAACAGACACCCTGTGAGGTGGGTGGGGCTGAGAGAACTCTGACACAAACGGCTCTTTTTCAAGGACAGCTGTGCCAGAGCTTGTGACTGACCCAAGGTCACACCAGCAGCTGCAAGTGGAGGAGTGGGGAATCAAACCCGGTCCTCCCAGATTAGAGTCCGCACACTTCACCACGACACCAAACTGGCTCTCCAAACCACACCAAACTGTGCTGGGCCATGTTGCTGATCCAAACATTGACTGCATCATCAACTGGCTGCATTTGTGTCTCAAGTCAGTTCTGCAGCTGGAAGGGAAGCAGCCACCTCTGCGATATCAGGAGGGGGATTTGAAGAAATTATTAACACAAATCTCTGGGTATTAACAGAGGTCCATCAGTGGCTATTAGCCACAAGGTATAGATAGGGACTCTGGGGCAAGTGATGCTCTGTCTTCTTGGTGCTTGGGGGGGGCAACAGTGGGAGGGCTTCTAATGTCCTGGCTCCACTGGTGGACCTCCTGATGTCACCTAGTATTTCTGGCCACTGTGTGACACAGAGTGTTGGACTGGATGGGCCATTGGCATGATACAACATTGGAGTCTCTTATGTCCTTAAGATGACAGGAAAGCAACAGGAAATTCATTCTGCAAAACAGGCAGACTGAGAAAGGAGACAGTAAGAAAGCAGGTGCTGAGGAAGGGAATCTTGGGGAAATCATCTGGGGCCTCGGTCACACAGAGAATTTGCCACGTGAAAGGCATGAAAGCTGGGCGGATTTTCGGGGCATGATTACGCCAGAACATCTGGAAAGTGTAGCGCACCCGCGGCCAACCAGTGGCATGCCCCTGAAGATGAGCAGTTAAAAAGTACCTGCAAAGATCTATTAGCAAATGGTTTGCCATGGGCTGCAGACGGACTTGTTCGGTGTGATCGCACCAGCGCGTGCCTATTCCCTCCGGCTGTCCTCTTTGCAGTGCGTGCCGAAGGATGAAACCCCGGTGTGCAGCCGTCGTGTCTGATTGCATAATGGGTACGCCACAACTGCCCCCCCCCCCGTGTTTTCCGGCATGTGTGGCCGGGGCCTGGGAGGACTAGGAAAGTTGGAAAGCACATGTGGGTGAGTTAAGTCATGGCAGAACATCTGCTTTGCACGCAGAAGGTCCCAGCTTCAATCCCTGGAGTCTCCAGTGGAAAGGAGCAGAGAGTAGGTGATATGAAAAACTTCCGATCAACAGAGAGTAGGTGATATGAAAAACTTCCGTCTAAAGCCCTGGAGAGCAACTAGTCAGATCTGACAATACTGACTTTGACAGACGAATGTTCTGACTCAGTATTAGGCAACTTCACTTGTTTAAGTACATGTTCAAGCAAGGGTGCACACCATTTCAGCCTGATGCTGGTGGATGTTGACTCAGAAGTAAGTCCCATGGTGTTTACTGGCACGTACCATCAACAGCTCATTGCAGACAACAGTCTCCATGTTGAAATCAACATTATGCATGTCAATTTCAACATGCATAGGGTTAGGAAATAAATGGGCAGGAGTATGTGGGCCCCACCTTCCACCTATGCATGAGCCCAGCTTGTGAGCGGCATATAATCTACCCATGTAGGAAATGTTCATCCGTAGGCATGTCGTTAGCATCCCCATGATGGGGAATATTTGAAAAAGCAGCATTCCCTATGACAGGGACAGCACCTATGCACATATGCTACACCAGGGCCCCCCAACATGGTGTCCGTCAGTGCCATGGCACCCAAAGAGACCTTTCCTGGTGTATAGAAATATTGATTTCTGGGCTTCCGGTCTAGTCTCTGTGAATGGCGGTCGCAACTCCGGGAAGCTCCCGGAGGTGATTCGCCCACACGCAGCTAAGGGGGGGGAATCCGCACAAGCGGAGACCCTAAGGAGCCTCAGGGAGAGGCTCCGATCCGGGGCTCCCAGGGGATGTGCCTCTTTCCCAGCCCGAAGGTCAGAAATTGAGGCTCGCCCCATGCCCCAATGGCCCTTGCCGCGGCAGTGCCCCGCACGGGGACTAGCAGAGCCGCCGGAGGTCACCGAGTGATGAAGCGGAAAAGCGTTTGAACGGAAGATATTCGGCCAAAACTGTGAGTTGCCGGTTGGAAACAGGAAAAAGGAGTGAAGCGCATTCCCCCCCAGTGAAAAAGCG